GCATAACGCATATAGTTGAGTCTTCCTCCAATCCTGATGCCACATTTTCTCCTCATGGAGCCCAGCCTCCTGAATCATCTACATATAGATGGAAAAGCTGTAGAGATAGGACACATTCCTGGCAAACCCCCTTCCTCATTTTGGACCATGCAGTGTTTCCTTGGGCTGCCTCCTGGTCCGAGTATAGGTTTTGCATAAGCACGATCAAATGGAATTCCCGTTCTTAGAGTCAAGGCACAGTTTGTCGTGGTCCACACTTGTCATAGTCAGTGAAAGACATTTCTTTGGTACTCCCTGCTTTCAGCCCATAACCATCTAACAGTAGCTACACTATCCCAACACCAAGACCCCTACGGAACCCAGCGTGCACTTCCGGCAGTTCTTGGCTGATGTGTTGTTTTTGGATAATCTTCAGAATCTTGCTTTCCTGTGACAGTGCATGTGAAATGGTGAACATAGGTGTTACTGAACCTACAGGTTCTCTCCGTAGTCAGTTGCCAATAAGACAAACGGACTGCAATATCCGTAAATGCACTTTATTATGACACAAATCTGGGGGACAGTGAGTCACCTCTCAGACTGCCTCCCCATCTGGGAGTGGTCATGGCCTTATATACTAGGGTGAAACGGAAGCTCATTTAACAATGCGCTTTTGTTAGTAAAGGTGATTTTTAAACCTGAAAGGACAGTTCCCATCTAGGTATCAGGAAGGCCTCAGGTCTCTTCCTGGTAAACAGGCAGATTAAGATATAGTTTACATATGACTGCAGAACCAGCTTCACCAGCATCTAGGATAGATGCATTTCCTCTTCTGGTTAAACAGATCAAACTACATGGGCAAAGACAGGAGACAGAGAATTCAGAGGCTAAGCAACTAGTTTTGCAGGCTGAAGAAAAAGAACTATAGTTTTATAACTGATACCTGTATAAAGAATTCTGAATTTATTAATACCATCCTATCAATAGGCATTTTTAAATTAAAAACACAATCCATAAATGCATCCCAAAGTCGCAGAGACACGGCTAGGAACCCCGGAACCACGCATTTGCTGGTGGTTTCCACGTGGTAGAGGTCTTTTTGTGAGACTCCAACCGGACACACCAGGAGAGGAACATTTTGATGGCGTTTGGCCACCTGTTCTCTGCCTTCCCTGGGCCAGTGGATTTCCATCCACTTCACATCCACGGCCTTACACCTCGGTGCGCTGGCCAAGGCCACTTCTGGCCACCAGATGCACCCCTTTCATTCATTCTGCAAGTAAAGTTGCTCCATTAGCAATGAAAAGAACTGTATGGGTTCTACCTAGAAAAGTTGTTGAGCTCTCCGAGGCTCCTGCTATGTCCAGTGAACACCACCTGGACATCCCCCACTCTCACCCCCGGGAGTCCTTTCCCCCAGTCTGAACGCCCTTCACCCTCCATCCTCTCCCTCTATCCTGGCTGACCATATCCTGCTTGGCCACTCACAGTCTCCTGGGACAACGTGTGATTTGAAGTTTTCTCTATTTACCATTCAATCGCTTCTTAGTCGAGTACGACCTCTAGCGACCCTATGAGCAAGATATTTTTCCATCTCACCCTACCCACCACCATCCTCATCTTTGATCGTTGCTGTTGATATGTGCCATCGA